CCCCCCCCCCCCCCCACCCCCCACCCGCCCTCCCCTCCTTTCAGCCCTATGTGGCCTTGGAAGGAAGCGGTTGCTCCTTTTCCCCACTCCTTCACTTTTCCTTCTGCAGGCGTGTGCCACTTGGGTGACCAAATCATTTTTTTTATTCATTTTGGAATTACACAATACAGTAACCCACTTCTCACTGGAATTGAACTCAAAAGTGTCAAAATAGGGTGCAGTTCCACTTTTGAAAGAAAACGCCACGTGTTCTCTGCAGCACGTTTTTTTCTTTGATGGACATGGACTGCTACTACTTCACTTTCTTTCTGTTTCCTACAATTTAACAGTCCTAGGGCCTATGCACAGAATCACAGCCAAAAATTCACCATGAGATCACTGCTTATATTTGTTTGTTGACACAAGATAATTATAGGATGTGCCTTGAACTATTCCCTGACCCTATTCCCTGCCAGTGTACAGGTGTGGGTGGAACACAAGCTGTTGGGGATATTCCCAAAATCACTTTTCAGAAGTCAAGAAATTTGGTTTGAGTGCAAAAAATGTGAAAGAAGAAGGAATAATTGCTGGGGGATCTCCTCTGTATGCATGTTCATCCTGAACAATTTTACTGAATTATCCGTCGAGCTTCTTTCAGCTGTATTTCAAAACAATAAAAAATCAAGAACATCAATAAATTGATGAATTCATTTTTACAATTGATATAAACATAAAATCTTTCTATATCATCTTTTACTTCTACAGTGAGATACTGTGAGAGAAAGTGCATGGGCAATGCAAATAAACTTTCACCATACTCAAAACAATAAGCACAGATTGGCTGGAAAACAATTCAAAAAATCCCCTTCACTGGAAAGAGGTAAAAGTTTGTTTTTTGTACTAAATACGTCTGGAATTACAAGCAGGTTCTGGTCAATGATTCCACTATGAGGAGAAAGGCATTGAACTGATGTTGAAGCTACAGTCAACCCCAAAAAGATGCCACCCTTTGTCCAGAGCGATTTTGGCCGTTTAAAGGCAGTTTGTCAAATGTTCCATTTTGAATTTATCATCAAAAATGCTGGATTTTCCTCCAAAACTGAGCCTCAATAACCCCAGGAAGCCAGATGAGCTCATTACGACAAATGAGAATAAGGGAGAGTTCCCCTCCTTTGAGCCCTTAATGGCCTTGGAAAGGAGTTGTTGCCCCCTTTTTGCCACTCTCTCATTTTCCCCTTCAGCAGGCGTCTGCCACTTCGGTGACCAAAACCTTTTTTCTTCTTCCCTTCTGAAGGGGTCTGACCCTTTTGGGACCAATACCAATTTTGTTCTTTCTAAAAAATAACACAATGCCCCACTACCCACTGGAATTCAACCCAAAAAGTGTCAAAATAGGGCGCAGATGAACTTTTGAAAATTTCTACATATTCCATTACCTAAAATTAACCATGATGAAGAATCCAGTTTGCAAATTTAACTTATAGATGAGATCAATTTATATAGTTACCATTCTGTACATTGAGATACAGGTCAAGTGAAAGAGAAATTTCACTTTTGAATGCAGCAAGTGAAGATCAAATAGGCCTTCCTAACAATTGAACTGCTAGAAAAAGAAAAACAATTGAAGTACAAATGAAGGGGTGCCTTGCCTAATGACCAAAATTTGTTCCTGTGTCTTGGTTATTATGGTGTTATCTTAGAAATACAGTAACTTACAGAAGACCCTTTTTTGGTAGTTTCTGAAGAAACCATTCAGAAAGCCTAGAAACGGAAATCATGGAAGCATAGATAATTGCTTCCTTTTCCTTTATGAGAAGTCTTGACAACTTCTCATGATTAGTCACAATAGCCTTCCATACGGTAATTATGGTACAATCAATCCTGGAACCCTGGTGAGCTCAACTCTTTGTGAAATCCAGTGATATTCGGATCTCTTGTTCATGTGGCGCATGGTCATTACTACTGAAGTATAACCAGCGCACTCATATTTCACTCAGAGTGATTTCCACATTATTTCCTTTCACGGATTGGGATTTCCGCTATTAAGGTCGCGTCGATTATTTCCTTTGTTCCCCCATCTAGGCTGGCTAGGCTTAAATACCCCTGCTTGGTGAAATCAAGAGAGAGATCTCATCCAAGCTTCATACAGTAAACTCCATAGCCAAAGCCTTGTTAAAGCTCAAACCTATTTCGAAGTAAAGTACAAGCTGGACTTGTGTGTTTGTGTATTTGTATTGTTGTATTGAATGTTTGTATGTGGATGAGAATATTGTATAAAGACTATTAATCCAGAATAAGAACTTGGTTCTTTTATTCTTGACTCAGTCCTGTAATAGAAAGGACAACAAGACACATTTTCTTGTTTCCTTGGGCATTTTCAATGATTTGGAACCAATTAAAACTATATTTCTGTACTATCTTGAGAAAAAATGTTTTTTGTTCAACGAACTTTGCTCATGAATGGATTAAGTTCATAAACCATGACCCCACTGTATTAATTGTTGGTACTGGTAAATGGAAGTACAGTGCAAAACATGACTTATGGGGGTCAAACTGGGAATCTCATTACTGAGATTCCAAAAGATTGGTAGATTATTATTTGTCCCAAAAGTTATGAACACAAATCTTTTAGTAAATCACAAAGTATGATATCACATCCATCGTAATTGCAGTGAAAAGGTAGAAGATTACAAAATATCATATTTAATCTTTTATACAGCTGTGTTTACAGTATATTCAAGAGTGTGAATGCCTTCAACAGGTTGCTAATCAAAATAAATCATGATAATA